AGTTTGGAATTTTCGGTTTTTTGATTTTTGGAAAAAATCGAAAATTCTAAAAATTTGAAAATGAGTTCAATGAATTTGAAATACATTTTGAAGGTATTTTCAGCCAAATTTCATGAAAATCAGACCGATTTTTTCAAAATTTTTAGAAATTAAAAAAAAAGTTTTTTGCTGAAAATGTTTCCAGCCAAATCTCACCTTTCCCGGCCGATCGGCTCGTCTGGGGATTTTAATGAAGCAATCGTTGAAGGACAAATTGTGACGAAGAGAGTTTTGCCATCTGGAAAACGTTTGAGAATTTCAGATTTTTTCGGTTTTTCACTGGAATTCTAGAATTCTGAAATTCTTGAAATTTTCGGATATCTGAAATTTTCAGATGCTAGGATTCTAATTTCCTAGATTCTGAAATTCTGAGAATTCCTTGAAAATTCCAAAAAGAAATCTAGATTTTCAGATTCTCAAATACCGTAAAACCTGTAATAGAAGGGCCCCCCACACTGCCAAGTTTGAGCTTAGTTATCTCAGCTCCTATGAGAGCTATCAAAATGTGTCAACTGATAAAATGTATAAGATGTTATGATAAACAATTTATTAGTTGACCACTTTTTGATATCTTTATCAGGAACCGAATTAAATTGGGTTAACTTTGAATTTGGGAACGGGCACGCGACATACATCCGGACATACAGAACCTGGTGGATGATATTATTGATGATGTGTTCTAGTACACATCATTTTCTATTCTTCTTCTTCTCCTCCTTTTTTTGATACAAATCTCATCGGAAATTCTTCTAGAATCCCTATCCACCCAACGTTTTTAGTACCATTGGTCTCTAATAAATTCTCTATCCATTTAATTTAATGAAATCCAATAAAAAAAGGAAAGAGTAGTAGTGTGGGGTAATAATAATAATTCCTGACTTTTTCCATATATAACACCCTATATTATGAATGAGGGAAGATGAAGAATAAAAGGGTGTGAGAAAATGGGTTACCGTAATCCTTGAAAAGTTTTTAGGAAAAAGTTTTATTACATGGAAGTAGATCATAATTAGTTTAAATGGGGTGAAGTTCTGGGAAACGGGGAATTTGAGAAAAAAAATTCTACAGTAGGATTGTCAAAGGAACTAGCTTATAAGGAACTTGGTGGCCTAGGAAACTCAAAAACTCGGCCACCGAAGCTGATTTTAGTCATCGTAAATTTTCAGATTTCCGGAATTTCCCGATTTTCTTTTTTTCGGGAAAATCGAAAATTTTGAATTCTATGAATTTTCAAAAATTATTTCAAATTAGGAATTTCGGAAAAATGGAAAAGCCAGATTTTCTTTCAAAAATAACGTTTTTTTTTGTCCAGAAAATCCAATTTTTTAGATTTCAAAATTTTCTCAGACTCTCAGAATCTCAGAATCTCAGAATCTCCGAATCTCAGAATCTCCGAATCTCAGAATCTCAGAATCTCAGAATCTCAGAATCTCAGAATCTCAGAATCTCAGAATCTCAGAATCTCAGAATCTCAGAATCTCAGAATCTCAGAATCTCAGAATCTCAGAATCTCCGAATCTCAGAATCTCAGAATCTCAGAATTTCAGAATCTCAGAATCTCAGAATCTCAGAATCTCCGAATTTCAGAATCTCAGAATCTCAGAATCTCAGAATCTCAGAATCTCAGAATCTCAGGATTTCAGAATCTCAGAATTTCAGAATTTCAGAATCTCAGAATCTCAGAATATCAGAATTTCAAAATCTCAGAATCTCAGAATCTCAGAATCTCAGAATCCCAGAATCTCAGAATCTCAGAATCTCAGAATCTCAGAATCTCAGAATCTCAGAATCTCAGGATCTCAGAATTTCAGAATCTCAGAATCTCAGAATCTCCAAATCTCAGAATTTCAGAATCTCAGAATCTCAGAATCTCAGAATTTCAGAATCTCAGAATCTCAGGATTTCAGAATCTCAGAATTTCAGAATTTCAGAATCTCAGAATCTCAGAATATCAGAATTTCAAAATCTCAGAATCTCAGAATCTCAGAATCTCAGAATCCCAGAATCTCAGAATCTCAGAATCTCAGAATCTCAG